GAGTGATGTTGGGGTCGCGGTGGAGCTGTCCGTCCACGTACAGCCGGTCCACAGCGATGACAGCCAGCTGTGGTAAGCTGAGAAAGAAGGCAGGGCTTGACTGTCTCTCCAGTATTTCTTTAATGTGTGCGTCCAAGTTCTAGAATAATGATGTCTTGTAGGAAGGATTGTGGGGAAAGATCCACCGATATCCGCATAATCTAATATCATCCCCTCTACAGGTTAGCCAGCTTTTCTGTCTGCCATCCAGTATGACTGTTGGGAGCAGTAGTAAACACTTGGTTTCTAGTAGAGTAGGTAAATTAAGTTGGGGGACTTGATTGTTTTGTTATTGGACGCTGCTCAACTTTTTCACTACAGGCAGTCTTGCCAGGCTGCTGTTAGAAAAGTTTTCAATATCAGTTAGCAGTCTCGAAGATGTTGTCCTGAAGGGACAGGGGTGGCTGTAGCTCAGGAGGTAGTGCAGGTCTTCTATTGATCGGAAGGTTGGTGGTTCAATCCCTGGCTCTCACTAGTCGGCATCCCAAATATCCTTGGGCAAGCGAATTAATACCAAGTTGCTACTCCGGGAGAGCAGAAAAGCGCTATATAAGAATCAGTTCAAGGTTGGTAGTCATCAGTGCATTAGCTTGAACTGTGGCTGATGATGGTAGTTCTTGTCTTGGTCCGGGGATCCTCTCCAACCCTAACCTGCACCAAGTGGAAAATCAGTGCAGCTACAATGAGTTCACCTGTTATTGATGGCAACAGGTCTAATCCTAAAACTGTAGGAACCGCCATCATAAGCTGCAAGTCAACTGAGAAATTGCAGCTGATGATGTTCCATGAGGAACTTTTTTTAATAATTGATTAAAAATATATATAATCTGGTGTACCTTGAATGTTTCTTCTCCCTACCTCAGTATGAAAACAAATACAGTGAAATTTGGTAGGAAACAAAGAGGTGTCAGGCATCATGGATGTTTTATTGACAAATGAAGTTACAGAAGTTGTAAAGTGTCCAGGCTTAGGTCCAAATGCAAACATGTCAAAATTTCTGAAACTTTTTACCTGTCAAATGAGGTCTCATAGGCTTCTTTTTTTATCATTTAAATTGGTGTTCCAAATAGACAAAGCATCTACAAAGAGGCGTGGACATCAACCAAACCTCAACCTTGCCCCAAACCATAGTTGCTCGCAGCTGATGGTTAACATGTTAAAGGCAGCTGAACCAACAAAGTCAAGTTGTTCTTGAAAGGTCCAAACAAAAAATTTCCAAAATCCCATTCCTTACAGGTCGGATGACATCAGCACCCCACAAACAATAAATCACAGACAAAACAATAATTACCACTTCCTCACAAATCAGCACGAATAGATAACCTTAAATCTCAGCTCATTACTCCTTATCTCACCTGCCAACCTACAGGATTAGCTGCAAACACTTTGAAGTGCATTTGTGCAGGAAAATCATTAGATTTACAATTAGTTTTATTGATGGTAACAAGTCTGTCTGCCCACTGGCTGCTCATGTCCACTCCCCACCTTTTCTGAGTTCACTTTGTACTAAATTGGGTAGCAATAAGAAGATAACAGCAGTGTACACGTGTGTGTGTGTGTGTGTGTGTGTGTGTATAGATTCACAGTTATATAACAGGAAAACTAGCATACATAACTAAGCTCGAGAGCAACATAGGTGTGTGTGTGTGTGTGTGTGTGTGTGTGTGTGTGTGTGTGTGTGTGTGTGTGTGTGTGTGTGTGTGTGTGTGTTAAAGACACTCATTCATTAAATGACATTATGAAACTAGCTTTTGAGTGTAAGTGGCCCCAGGGTCAATCAACCCTGAACCTATTCTTGCAGTGCCATACGTCACCCATAAATTAGCATCAAACAAAATGCCTTCCCATCCCCATGTATGTGTGAAAACACTGCCAACGTCTGAATAAAATGTCACCCTAAATTCCAGTTGGTCATTTAAAAAATAATACAATGTTTTGCATTAAAATCATTCTTGGGCATTTTCACTTCGCATTCCTTTTAAATAGAACTGTCTTGTAGCATTTGTGTGATCATTCGTTTATGTACCAAACGCACAGCTATTGAGTTGTCACAGTGTTTACTGGAGGATGAGGAAAATTACAGCAGGCCACAAAAAAGTGCAGGAGTATAATGCTGCCTAAAACAACAGAAAATAGCCTGGTTTAGAAAGGTAGGACAATGAACATCATCACTGTATATACTTGTATAACTATGCATGTGACAAATAAAGAAACTTGAACCTTGAACCTGTGCTTACAGCTTCTCCTTCATACTGTCATGTGCAAAGTTACTTAAAACACCCTCTTTCCCATTCTGATGCTTAGTTTGAACCTCAACAGATCACATCAATACGTTACGTATTTAAGATACAAAATATGAGTAACTGTATTCCGTTACAGTTACCATTTAAAGAGGTGGTATTCAGAATACAGTTACTTTGTTGAAGTAAATGGATTACACGGCGGTATTTTCCTGTTTTATATTGTGGCAGGTCAGGATTATTTGGGTTTTGTTTGACAGCTATGTTCTGTTGTTCCAGGCGGCAGCGTTGTGGTTGCGATGATTACAGGGTGACCCGTGCTCTTTCTGCGACTGTGTGTTTCCTGTGTGAGAGTGCGCCTTGTTGTTGTTGCTGTGCTAAGCCTGGGGTCAGCAACCTTTAACACCCAAAGAGCCATTTCCACACAAAAGAAAACACTGGGAGCCACCAATACTTTTTGACATCTAAAATTAAGATAACACTGTATATATTGTTTTTTACCTTTATACTTTAGTTGTTCACACAAAGTGTGTTGCTTATGAAATCCATGAAGTGCTACAGAGAAAACTACATTTTATTTATGTAATGAACACATTTTGAACTCTTAAAGAAATATAACAAAAAGAAAAATGATCCATGTAGCAAAGAAAAATTGTTGTGTGCCGCCACCCTTATATCGCCTTTGGGCTTTTGGAGTGTAGCAGAGCCTTAACCTGAATTGTAAAAAAAAATAATTGGAAAAAAGAACTATGCTACCACGCATCGGGGCGATCGTGGCTTGAGAGCTGGCAGTTCGTCTTGTAATCAGAAGGTTTCTGGTTCGAGCCCCGGCTCGGACAGTCTTGGCCGTTGTGTCCTTGTGCAAGGCACTTCACCCGTTGCCTGCTGGTGGTAGTCAGAGGGCGCCAGTGTCCGGCAGCCTCACCTCTGTGTGTGCTGTGGCTACAACGTAGCTTGCCATCACCAGTGTGTGAATGACTGAATGTGTAAAGCGCTTTCACTGTAATCCCCAAAGTTATTTGCATTCAAATGGTTTAGCTATAATCACTGATGGTAATTAATTTTCTTTGTAAAACTAAAATCATATAACTGTGTCAGACAGAACTCATTGGTGGAAGCTTTTTGTACTTAACCCATATTGTTTTGCATGTGATGCACTAAAATGAATACATTTAACATGGTCCTTTCTATTTTAAGTTTATTCTAATAAATAGTTTAAGTTCAATTTTTATAAGAGAATAAGTTTTAAACTCAACACTCAAATAATAAAAGTAAATTTGATGTTTACTGATCATGTTTAGTTGAAAGCACTTTCACTATTTTTAAGTTTTTGTTGCCCCTCCCATATTTTTCCCGGCACTGGAACCGAAGAGACGTCTGGACTTGTTTGTCAGGAAAAATTAAGACAAGTCGTTTTTGGTGGTTTTGCCTGGGATTGGACATGTTTGTTTCAGTCTACAGTCGATAGGGAGTACTTTTCCTCAAACCTCCACGCAAACTGGTGAGTTAAATCTTTGTATTTCAACTTTAAGCAAAAATAGTTGCATGTTACATTACGCAAATGTGCACGCTAATTCAATCTACAGTGAACCCTCGTTTATCGCGGGGGTTATGTCCCAAAAACAACCCGCAATAAGTGAAATCCGTAAAGTAGTGAAAAGTATTTATTATAAATGTTTTAAGGCTGTAACCCTCACAGCCTTAACCCCTGCTCATGCGTAATGGTTCTAGCATCTTCCTCATCCATCCAAACCGCGCGGTTCCATTGTGTGATGTGAGCACATCCAAACAGTGTTCAGGGTTAGCCCAGGTCCGGACTCCGGCCCCGGTCAGAGGAGGAGGACCAGAGCACGGCCGGGCACCTCCAGCCGTTCACACGGACAAATAAACCTGTCATTATTCTCTGCACAGCCGCGCTCTGACGCTCAGCCCCTCGCTGAGGCTCGAGGGGCTGAACACCGCTCCTCTGCACCTGTACAGCCTCTCGTAAAGTTTACTTTATTAACATGTGCGCCGCTGCAGCGCCATACAGAGCTGAGCAGCGTCTCGTCCTCGTCTTTAACTTGTACTTAAATAATAAACAGCATTTATAGAAATACAATACTTTGACCTTTTATACTTGTGTTACTCTCCACCAACAGGTTAACTCACAGTTTTCCCCCCCCCCTCTGTAGAATGCTGCTGATGGTGACCTTGAAATCCCAATAGGAATCATCTTCAATGGTGAAAACGGAAGTCCAGAGCAAGAACTGAACCCCTCCCAGCTGGGGATCCTTCTCGAGGGCAATGTGGTAATGGATTCCATCTGCAGTCTTCCTTTGGCAATGTGTCTCCTGTTTGGACTGACTTATCCACTCCACTTGGAGTACCCAAAGTGCATGAAGAATACATTCCTGTTTATCCAGCAGATTATGCTGAATCTGGGACGAAACGATCCTCCTCCAAAACTCCAAAGGCTAAAAAATGAGCTTTCAATGTGTGCATAGATACATTGAATGTTCACTTTTCATTGAGCAGCTTTTTCTCAAGTTCAGGAAGTCATTATTGTGTTTGTAATTGTCTTTTTTTTGTTTTTAGTGG